AAAAAAAAGATATTTTTTTCACTTTCCTAACCATGGGAAAGCCTCAAAGCCTACTTTCAGTATCACACATAGACTTGTTCATGAGAGTTGAGAAGCCTAAGAATAACCAAGTCTGCCCTTTGTCTTCTGAGAAATGTGCCTGAGGGCTGGAATGCACCCCAGGCTACCCAACAAGTCAGAGATTTAACTAGAAAGGGAACCTATTTGCCTATTAGTCAAGTGACTGCACATAGACAAGAGGTCCCTTTTTTTTTTTCCTAACACAAAGAAAGTTTCACACTATAAAACTAGTTACAAACTCTTTTTTTTTTTTTTTCCAGGAGTAAAAGGTGGTGTACAAGTCCTCTACCCTTATCTAAAGAGGTAACCAAGAAGTTGAACCTGGTCAACTGGGAAATGCTGAGATCAAGATATAATGGAGTGACCATGTAGGATGGAACAAGACTCAAGAACTAAGGACTAGGCAGAAAATCATGCCAGCATACTGGGTAAGTTCAATAACAACAACAGAAATAATAGGTTGATTCCTCATGGCCTCAGTGCAGCATAGGATGAAGGTATTCTGATGCAGGAACAGAATGTGGCAATAGAGAAGCCAGGATTAGGTGGTTTTGAGGAATACCGACTGGCACACACTTGAGAGTATCCAATGTTATGTCAGGTAGAAGCCAACTCTGATTCCTAAGTGGAGTGGAAGAAAGGGAAACTGAAAGAAAATAGTGGATGGGTAGATATGGCCAATAAGGAGAATATGCAGCCAATTATTCCGAGAATAAGGTTCTAAATAATTACTAAAACTCAGGCACAAAGTAGGTCATTCATTTGGGGAATACAAAGAAACCTCAATTTTCTAAATTGGGGCAAAAGATCAAGCCAGAAGAGCAACTATGGCCAGAGTCTCAGAGCAACGGGCTGGAGTTCTTTGAAAGAAAGAAAGTGAAACACTAATCATATACTTAAAATCAGTGATGAGAATGTATGTGAAGGTTGGTTAAGGCCAGGCTCATAGTAGGTCTCCAGTATTTATCAATTCCTCTCTTGTCTCCCAAGACCAACAACTAAGTGGCAGCCCTGAGCACACTTAGAAGTGGTCTGTGCCCCAGGTGTTAAAAGATTGATGAACCCAGTCAATCACATTCCCCAAGGCACTTAGAGGTGCCTTGGGGAGACACAAGGGGAAAACTTCACATTTGTGCTCTCTGCATTCCTCTTCCACAAACTATATTCTAAAGATCCTATTCATCCAAACAGTGATTTGCTTTAGAGGCCTTCAATATGAAACCTACCAAAACAAATGCCTGCTTTATTCCTTCAGACATTATTTTATAAAGGCAATCACAATTAGAACTATTAAAGCAGACTATTTTAAGTTGGTATCTCTTGGTCCTTGAAAACATTAGTAGTTGTAGACAAACTTTTTTGAACAAGCGGGTCTCACACTTTAAACATCAACCACGGGGCATTACTTTACCAGTAGTTCTGATGTAAGAGCCTGGACATGATTTCATCAAGTATGAACATTTTGAAAAGATGCACAGGAATCTCCCCTGTTGGTGTCACTTAAGGTCCTGTGGCCTCAAAAACAACTCTCATTAGACAATCACATCCCAAGTAATGGGATCATGTCTGTGAATAAACTTTTCGTACACTGATATGTGATTCAGCATCTTTTCTTAAAAGTGAGAGTCCGGCACTATATTAGGGAAACAGCCACATGATGCCCAGCTCTCTCTAAGATATGCCAGCATAACATGCCATACTAAACTGTTCTTTGGGCTTGAAACTGGAAATTCCATTCCTTAAAAGCATTCTTCTTTGGTTGGTTCCATACATGCAATGGCAAATACTCACATTCAATAGTCTTCTTCAAAGTACCTCTTCTTTTGAGTTGGTGTTTTTAAAGAAACATAGTACTTGTTAATATCAAACATGCTAAGGTGTCACTGTGCCTGCCTTTCCCTTTATCCATTCTTGAAATATTTTGAAAGGTTTATCTGTGACGAGTGTGTCTAGTAATTCTCATGTGAAGCCACAAACTTAGCTAATTGATCCTCAGCAGTGATCAGGTCTCACCCCAGACAAATTACTACAGCCACAAGTCCACCAAACTGCAATCCAGGGTTGAGTCAATATTGAACCGTATCCAAATGTCACCAGTCTTCCTTCTACTTTAATTCTCTCTGCCCATATTTTATATGGATAGCATTGCCATTCACTTTCTTGTTATAAGGATGCAGTATTATTTTTATTATGAGTATTTAAGATATGTTGAGTTTCCTTTTTAATTAAAATTCAATCATTTTAAAAGAACATGTCTTTCCTAGAAATGCCACTAGCAAAATGCATCCAATTTTTCTCTATGTGGTGCTTTCCCTGTCCATAAAACTTATTTGATTAGCAGTACTATAGAAGCTAAAGCTTTTGTATGCAAGCACTCAAGCATAATTTAATAATTTTATTTAAGCCTGGAAAAGATTATTCTAAAAGCCCTGTTGGTAAAATATCCCTGATTAGTTTAAACTTACATTTGCAGGTATATGAAAGGTGAAATAAATCCCAGAATGCTCAGTATGCAAGGAACAGTGTTAACTTTGTTACAACAGTCCGGCAGTAAGTTAAAAATTGTAGTATTAGAGAATGTAAGGAATAACTATCTGATATTAAATATATGTATTTAAACAGGTTATTTTAAAATACATTTTGTTCTGTGTGAACTCTTTTTATATTACCAGGATTTTCACCTATGGAAATCTCTTTTATAGTCAAACAAGACGAGGTCTTAATTGCATACTACCATTCATCTGCTGAGGATAGAAGTGCCAACAAATGAAAATGCACATTAGGCAAGAGATCGTCAGAATAGAAAATTTTTTTAATTTTTTTTTATTTTTTTGTTTTTTTGTTTTTAAATAACCCACTCACATTAACAAAAGACTGCAGTAGCTTCCAAATTATAGGTTGTTATTTTTAGTGGAAGTAGTTCAATATTCATATTGGAGCAGATGTAGCAGTTTAACAAAACAGCTCTTCAAATCCTGCACAAATTGAAAACAGGAAAACTGATTGCATTTTCTCTTATCACTTTCCTTTTCTGAATTGACACTTTTGGCCTTCTGAAAATTTACACATGGCTTTCATCTCAACAGCACCTGCTGATCAAATAGAAACCTAACATTTTCATGAAAATGGTATAAAGGACCAGTTTTGTTCTAAACACTGTAAAGGGCATCAGTTGCCTACTTGATGGCAACAATTGCCATGTATAAGTCATAGGCATAATAGATTTATGTCTTCATAAATTTCTTTAACATAAAAATATGTTAAGTCCCTTCTGTTTTTTTCTTTTTTTCCATATTCACTTTCCGTATTGTTCAAATTTCTTTGACTCAATGTCTGCCTAGTTCTGCTATTTAAAGACTATGCAAAATGTGTGAAAGGGTAAATTACAGCAAGATAACAAATACTATTTCTCTGCCTCTGCTTGAAATACACATATTTATCTATGTAAGTTATTGTCTATGCATGCACATGAGTGTAAAATACATATATCTCACTTTGTATTCCACCCACTAAAAAAAACTGGAAACAAAAAGTCAGAGTCAGACCCTATTTTTGAAGGGACCTTACCCATTATCTTATCAGATACAGATTTAGCAGGTGCCTGGCCCTTTCAGTACCCCAGACAGGGAAAGAAAGAATGTCACCCATGCAACAAACTGGTCATCTAAATAGTGACCGACCACTCACTGTAAATAACTCCAGGTAAAGGTAAATCTTGAAAGTGGGCATCCTTCTATGTAAAATATGCAAGATCGATGGCTAGCTTTTCAGATTTTTAACCATGCTCCACGTAGTTCTCTGTAACACCCAATTCTTGATAAAATTAAAGATGTTCCTAATACATGCTATCTGCTAGCTTCTCAGCCAAAAGAGCTCTACCCTTTCTGAAAGACTCCAGGTTGTCCTTTCCCATTCTGTCTGGGTGATAAGGTAACCTGAAGGCAGAAATGACATACAGTAATATATGTGCCACTCTGGCCAGTTGGTCTGTGAATTTCAGTGTTTCATCATGCTCACTGAGGCAACAGCAAACCTGAAATGTCAATATGTTCAGTCAATGGAAGTAAAATAATGGGACTCTATTGTCTTACCCAATCGATCTGCTGCCGTCAACAAGGAAACATGCCCCCCTGGCTTTAAACAAATTTTAATTAGGCTTTTAGTTATTGGATCATATCTATCTATCTATGAAAACACCTATCTTGACAATCTGTAGGAGGCAAAACAACCATTTTTTCTACTTTTCTTCATTTTAAGAACCTTCTAAAGTTGATATTATAATGTTTTCAAATACTTGTCAGTCAATAAGACATTTTTTCTTCTTTTTTAAAACTAGCTCCAAGCAAAGGATTTCATGGTTCAAATCCAAAATACAAATCTACCTAACAGACTTGGAGTGATTTTTTTTTCTCCTCTAGCCTGAGTTGAGCCATACTATAAAATTAACTAATTCCATATTAAAAGTAGGCTTCATTTGCTCATCTTACTCAATCAAGTACTGTTAGCATCAATTCATCATGCATTTATAACAAGTCACACAAAACCAAACATTAATGATCAATCCCAAAGCCTTTACCCTCTTTGCTCAGTTCATCACTCCTAAAGGCAAGGGGTAAAAAACTCCTGTTAAAATCAGGTAGGTGCATGGTGCTAAGAAGGGTAAGGAGTTGTTGGGGGAGAGGAAAAAAGACATCATAAGTCATCCAAATTGCACCGAAGTTCTCTAGCCCTTCCTTCCACCAAAAGAGAGGTAGTCTCACCTTAAAATAAAAATGAACTAATCAAGTTGTTAAGCAGCTTTGTCTCTCCCTTCTTCATCTAAAGGCTTCATCATCCAGTCAATAAATAATCTATTGTTCCCCCTTTATCAAGTCTCTTTAAACCTATTCAGACTGGCAAAACTAAACCCAATTAAAGATAAGGCCCTCCGGTATTCTCACCTCGGTGAGTCCTGTCTGGATAGCAGAGGTGATGGGAGATAGCGTCAAGGCCAGGGTAGATGCCTCCTCCTCACCCCGCACAACAAAAGGCAGATTTCTCTTTCTCACTCTGCTAATCTTTAAATGTAAATTCTCTCCGCCAGCTAAGAGGAGCGACAGATAACATGTTACATCTTCACTTCTCCTGGTCTTATCGACTTCTGAATCATTTGGAAAGGGAGAGAGGGAGAGAGAAAAGCCGCCTCCCCACGCCCCCCTTCCTCCTGGCCACCCCTCCTTCCTCCCTGCTCGCCTCCCTCCCCTGTTCACGGAGATTACCTTCTGGCAAAGGAGCGCGGGAGAGCGGCCGCGGCCGAGGCGGCACCCAGACCGCGGCTTTGTATTCATTAAACACACATTGGAGCTTATCAGAAGTAAAAGGCTTGTCAGGATGGCACATTGTGTGTGAGTGAGTGTGTGAGCGCAGGAGGGAGAGGAGAGAAGCCAACGTGCATCAGGGTGATTACAATATCAGCAGGGCCCAGATGGAGGCAGGAAAATAAACAGAGGGTGCGTGTGAGACGGAGCGGGAGAGGGAGGAAAAGTGGGAGAGAGAGAGGGAAAGAGACACAGGCAGGAGGGAAGGAAAGAATGGAAAGGGACGGAGGGGGCGGGGGCTCAGACCCCAGGATGGGGCCAGAAAGTGGGGGAGAGCTACCTTAAGCCTGTCTGGGAATGAGAGGCAGGCTAGGAGTCGCCTGTAAGCCCAAATCTGCCCCTACCACCCAAAAAAGGGAGGAATCCAGCAAACTGTATTTCCGTGCTCCAGGGCTAGGCTGAAAACACATTAGAGATTCTGTCAAGGTCAGAGGAGGATCAAGAGCTCTCTTTCGGCAGAGCCAAGGGAGACAGTCACCATCTCACCTCCATCTAAATAGCCACAATTTGCAAAACAAACCTACTGAGTCTAAGATGCAGTTAAGCGGCCCTCCAGATCAATCTCAAGTCGCAGTTCTTGTCCCTTTCTTTGCTGACCCCAATACTCCTAAATTCCAGCCCCTGCACACTCACACATGCAGAGATATAGAATAGCTCCTGTCCCTGAACTTAAATGAGTCCCAGCTGAAGACTCCTGCAGCCAGCATCATTGTGATAAGTAGGACCACTTGTGATTGGTAGCTACAGGTGACTCTTAGAGACCTGCTCCACCTCCAGAAATTGTGCTGGGGGAGGGAGGTCTTTATGTGTGCATCTGAGAGTCTGTTTTGGAGGTGGGAATCTGAAATTGAGGCAATCAATCTCGGCTTGAGCTGCCTCGTGGCTCTTCACCCACCCATTGCCAGAGAATCAATCAGAGAACAAGCAAGGGCTAATGCTCGTCCCTCAGTCCAGAGTTCATCCACCTCCCCAGCAGGGTCAGGAAGGAGATACACCTGAGTAGTCCCTTGGGAGCCCCTTTTCACTTTTAAATACACCCATCAGACAATGTGAACATCTGATCAGATCCTTAATGGAGTGCAGATAATGCAGCAAAGGACGTTATTTTATTAGGGGGAGGGGAAGTATTTGGTTATGCTGTGTTTCAAGGCACTGAAGCTTGGTTAAGAAGCTCTCACTACAGTATGAAGAGTGAGTTCAGAATGAAGGAGCCAATAAACTATACAACTGTTCAATAGTGTACACTGTAGCCCTAGCTGCTGTGAAACTTTAGATTATAAAATAGCTTCTGCATGGGGTCTCCGTAGAAAGGAATAGAATGGGGGTAGAGGGTAAGGCTAAAAACAGAATAGCAAGAGAACTAGCCCCTGCCTTTTAGGGGAGCCAAATTTTAAGAGGCCCTTTAGAAAATGAAGAGAAGCATTGTTTAATCAGGCACTCCCCTGCAAATCACTTGGCCAAAAAACGGTTTTATGTGTAGGGGAGCACCACCCCCTCTCCCTCTACCCCACCCAAACACATACACACCAATGTTCCAACCCCAAGAATAGAATTAAAAGAAATTTGATAGGTAACACAAAGTGAAAAAAGCTGGGCATAGGTGGGGGAAGGGCATGTGTGAAAATCTTGTCATGCAATGAATGTCAGATAAAAAGGGGTCTGCCACAATCCTCCAGTAATCCAATAATGTGGAAAACCTCATGTTATCACTGAGATGAGAACAAGGTAATATTTCTCCATAAATCTTCAAAAAGTGACCAGGTTCAATAGTTAGAGAAGGGTGCAAACATAGGAAGGAAAACATTTGGCAGGCTACATCACAAAATCAAGTGAGCTGTAAATGGGTGAAAATCTGTCATTCTTACATGTTTTCAATGTAATAACAGATTTCTGGAGGATCATTTTAGCTCTCAAAAAAGGTCACCTTTCACCTTTTCTCTAGCTATTCTAGAAAAATGCATTCAGAGTAACCGAAAGCAACCATACATACCCCCACCCTTTACTGAATTTTAGTTAGATCAGTTTGGACACAGACTACATACAAATACCTGAAAATCCAACAAAACTCTAGGGGAAGAAAAATACCATTTATAGGTGCCCACAGATTTTTCCATTACATGCCCTTTTAAGAAATGCTATTTTAAAAATAAAATTGCATTACTACCGCTTTCAAACCCAGAGAAGGTTTGCTATTTTTTTTAAGGGGCATCCCAAATACTAGAGGCTAATCTGTACAAAAGCTAATCTGCCAATGGTCTTATTTTATAAATGCACAGTATTTCTGTTAGTACCTTGTTTGTTCATTGACTTTTGGCTCACAGTTATAGAAAAGATCAACCAATTCTCAAATGGGAAGAATCCATGACTCTCTTCCAAAGCAAACACTTTGCTGCAAAGCTTTCAATTGAAAGGAAAAAAAAAAAAAAAAAGCAATACAATAATCAAGAAGTATAATCACAGAAGTGTACAACAGAAAGTGATTTCTATAATCACAGCTGTCTTAAAGTCCAGGCTACAGACTAGAAATCTTAATTTCAACTAGTTCTTTTCTTAATAATAGTTACCTTCCTATAAAAGCAAGAAGTCCATCTGCCCCAGGCAGATAAGTTTTGAAGCATTAATTCAGATAAAAATCTAGCATTTTCTTTCTTTCTTTGAGTATGTGAATTCTAGTGTGCTATAATGTGAGAATTCCAACATATGACCATTATGGCATAATATCTCCTTGCTCAGCTTGTCATTATTTCATTTGTAATTCTTATGTTAATTATGTTCATAATTACTATAAACAGATGTGGTAGACATTCATGTGACCTTTTATAGCAGAATGCATTCTTCACTCATTTTGCTTTAATTTCTCATGTATACGAAGCTGAAATGTAGGAAAAAGAAAAAGCCTTTCCAATTTTCCAATGTTTTATATGCATAAGCTAAAACAGAACCTACCTTCTACTTCATCTGCATTTCAGAATATCATAATATTCTTAATGTTTAAGCTGCTTTATACAGCACATTTCTAAATTGCACACTGAACCTCACTGCTGCTCACTAAATTGTAGCTATGGATGCCAAACAAAGGCTAGCATCCACGTCTAAGTTGTCTTTTTTTTTTTTTTTTTTTTTAATATCAAAGGTTAATGCAGCAGAATTGTGCTTCAAAACCAAGTGCCTAGCAGCTACATAGCGATTTATTCACTCAGAACTCAACCATCACCCTCTTTACATAAAACACATTTACAATAAAATCAGTATGGATTTCATTAGCTGAAAACCTCCTCGAATTTCATTTCTTTGGCCCTAATCTATAATTAGTCTGGACAGACAGGTGCAAACCCTTCTCTTCTACAGATGGCTACTGGAAATGGTGCAAAGTAGCTCCTTCTGTTTAAACAACACAGAGATAACCTGCTCTGTCTCATCACTTACAATTACCTCCATTAAACTGAACTAATGTTTGCTTTAATAAAATGTTCACTGTTCTTTAAACATTATTTAGGAACTCTTATATTAATGGCTGTGGAAAAAAAATGAAGTTGGAAGGTGTCTCTAGATAATAATAAATAGCTTATTCTGGATAAAATGTTCCCACTGACAGATAATACTCAGGTTCACAGAGGTGTTTTAGTTGATTGAATATTTGTTATTTTACATAAATAGGATTTTTAAAAGGCATCCAGGTGACAAACATAATTTAACAAGTTGGGGGAAACAACATTTTTCCCAAATTTAGAAAAAGGGTTTAAATTCTTTTCATATAGATTTTAAGTTGTTATTAACATATAGAAATCAAAATTCTTGATTATTTTCAAAGGATATGTATGTTAACTTAGTTTTATGCATTTAACTTCTGATAGATGACTCTCAAAGTGGAATGAATTCACTCTTTTAAGGCACATTTTAAAAATTATGAATGTAAGTGCACTCTGCAAGCACATGGTTAAAAGCACCTCCATTCCATAATAAATAACTTCTATAAAGCCAGAGCTCACTTCTCCCTGCTTCTGCTATCAATAAAGTCTGTGGATCACTATATGATGAATAAGGTGTCCATAAAACAAAGAACCTTTAAATGCCCAAACAGCAACAAATAAATAGCCTTTCTCACTGAACTTACATAACTTACAGTAATAGACTCCAGCAAAATGCAACTGACTCAGTTTTTTTCACATGCAAATCCTGCAGGTGCCAATTTTTCAGACTGCTTTGCTATGAAGGGCTATGTTGCCTACATAAAACCTCAGTGAAGAAGGCTTTGCATTCAGTGCCTGTCAGCTGATGTTCATATCAAAGAAGTGAGAAACAGGATTTGACAGTGAAGAATGTCCTAAACTGACAACCACTGACCAGCATTCCTATTGGAAGCATTTCTTTCTCGTGATCCTTTTTCAATGTTTAAAGAAATGCGAGATTTTTTTTTTGGCTAAGCTTCTATGTGACAATAAAATAAATTATAATGGCACCTTACATTTGTGTAGTTCTTTGCAATTTATGAAGTCCTTTTTTATCTACAAATATGTAGACTAACACCTCAATGGGAGAGCGCATCATCAAATACTAACATCAAGAGCAATATTTTACTTCTCTCAGGAAAAGAAAATTGTGCAAATATTAAAAAGCTGCAGTCCCACCGCTGCAAAAATACTGTCTTTGCAATTTAAGAGGGCAATGTATTGTGCTGGACATAGAATGATTTTTAAGATCATTTTAACACAAATTATTAGCAGGTATTAATGGACCACAGAGACTAGGTCTACAAAGGAAAATATCATTTCAAAGATTTCTAGTCTGCTTTTAGTTGTCCAAACATTAAAGAAAAAAATAATTTTCCCCACTGCTTTTATTAGGTATAAACAGGACACTGGAGAAACTGAGTACTGAAATTCTCCCATGCAATATTTAGCTTTTCAAATAAAGTCACTGCTATCTAAATGGTTTATAATAAAATTACTAATGCCTAAACGAAACGATTTAATAAAAAGTTATCTTCGGTATTTAAAAAGTCGGTTTTTATGCACCCAGTATAAGACTGACTGGTCAATTGTTTTGTTGGAATTTTATCTTTTAAAAGAATAAACCAACAAAATATAAAATGCTGAACACAGTACAAGAAATAATGGAATTCAACTTCCTCAGCATCCATCCTGGCTGCAAAAAAAAAAAGCCCGGATCAAACCAAGATTCCCTGATTAGTATTGGGTGAGACTGTCAGATTCTTTTGAAAAAAATAATCATCAGTAAAGAGAAAAAAGAGAAAATGAAATCAAATAACCCTATCTTTATTATCTGAAAATCCTAATGATATTAAAAACTAGACTTTAAGGATAAACGAGGGGGAAATCCACAGAATTATAAATTTGTTTCCGTATATACACATCACAGCTGACATGAATGCTCAGGTTGGGGCTATGATGGTTTAAGAAACAATGGTGTTTGGTAGCCTTTTCTAAAGAACTGTGACAGGAGAAACTGGGCACAGCAGAATACTCACATGGTCAAGGCAAACGCTGCCATAAACTAAAAGGAGGCCCCCAACACTAACAAACCGTTTATCACAGAGAATCTGGTCAATTTGTATTCTAGGGAGTGTGGACTCACTGGGCACAGACCCAGTTCCACTCCTGTTCTATGCAAAGGAGGGCAATGATAATAAAAGCCACTGAGTGCACTTAAAAATGGTACAGATGTTGAAAAGGAGTCCAGGAGGGGGAAAAAAATCCCTGTAAAACACATTTCAGTTCACACAGAAGGTATAAAGAATGCTTTGGTCAGCAACCCGACCTTTATCAGGAGATAAATCAATTTGCAGCAGCTGTGGACAGCCATTTATATACAGGCCCTGGGCAGATTAATTAAGGAAAGCGAAGTTAAAGATTCAAGGGGGCTCAGAGTTACATTAAGCACATGAAGTTTGTCTGGAGTGGCCTCTCCAGCTCTCCTGGTCTTCACTCCCTCGCTCTGGCCTCGGGCACGGTTCTGCGGGACCTCCTCCACGGGAATCCTAGCTATTCCTTAAAGCCACCTTCTGCAGATTCCCCCAGGAAGTAGCAGACAGGCTGGGGCACGGTGGGATTTGTGGTGCCAAATCTTGAAGGATTTCTCCATTACGCTTTGCAAGGAAGGAGGAGGCCATGGGCTGCACGGCCACCCAGCCAAATCACCCAAACTAAAATGCCTTTTGGAGTAGAGGGGGAGGGAAGGCGACTATTTTTAGCAACAGTTGTGGCTCACATCCTACTTCCCGGAATCATAGTACTCAAAACTTTTCCAAGAGTTGACCGCCCTTACAAAAAATAAAAAAATAGCATGTTTCATAAAAATGGATTTAAGCGCCTTGTGCTGACCTAGCCGTATTTGCTCAAGGCACCCCAGTCAGCGCCAGGTCCGCCAGGGAGAGAGGTCTGGGCGCGCCAATCAACCCGGTCCTTTCAGATTCGCAAAGAGGGCAGTGAGCGGCTGGCCCCGGAGCGCGTCTCCACTGGCCCGGGGGCTTCACCAGAGGGGTTCCTGGAAAACGAAAGGAATTCCCCGGACGCTACTTCGGGTCTGGACCCCGTCGGGCGGGAGCTACAGGGCACAAGGTTGTATTCCACGCTCAGGAGAAGCAGACACCGAGTCGGGGCAGCGACGGGAACACCCAGAAGGGCCGGGGCGGCCGGGTCCCGAGTGCGAGGAGGTCGGGCGGGGACGACGCTGCCCATCTGGCCCCTGACTGCGAAGCCCGGGACCCGCCCCGGGCGGGAGCCGCCGTCCGCCCGCTCACCCAGGGGCTTCCCACTTCAGCACCCCAATCGGCCAGGAGTAACAGGGAAAGTTCGCAGGCGGGCGCAGAGCGCCTGGGTACCTCTAAGAAAACCCCCACCCGAGTTGCAACCGGGTTCCAAAGTTAAGATCCCGCCTCTCCTACTCCTTAGGGCTAAGTTTTCCACCATCAAAGCAAGTCTTTGCTTCCAGTTTACAAAAAAAGAAAAAGAAAAAAGAAAGAAAAAGAAAAAAACCCACGATGCGGGCATAGGGCCACCTGCCAAATTCACCGTGGGCACCTCGACCAGTTGTGTTGTCGGGGGAGAAACCCACTCGTCATCTTCCTGCTCGCATACCGTGACTATGGAGAGGGAAGAAACATTACTTTAGAAAGACAGTGTGGGAAATCTAATAGTAAAAACTGCATCCTCGGCTGACCCGCGAAGTTCAGTGTCATCGCAGACCGGAGTCACCCGCGATGTTCCTCTGCCCTGGTGCGTAGTCCTACCCTAATTGAGCGACAAGTACAGCCTGGAGCCTCTCGGTCGAATAATCCAAACGAAGATGACGGTCATTGAACAGTAATTAATAACAGCCAGGGGCCCGTCCCCGCCGCCCGCCCGCCGGCCAAGCCCTCCCGCGGACACTTACACTGCACAGGGCCGGAGAGTCCCACCATCCGCCACGGGCTCCGAGTTGCAAATAAAACTTCCCGTCGTCTCGGCTGGCCCGCGGGGCGACGGGGCGAGGGCGCGGCGCGGCTTCCCTCGCGAGGCCAGAGTGTCCGCAGCCACTCGCCCACGCGCGCTCGCCACGAGGCCGCGGAGTCGCGCCGCTGAGCGACTGCGGCCGCCCGGCGCTGCGCAGAGAGAGCTGCGGTGCAAAAAGCCCGGGGTCGGGGACGCCAGCCAAACGCAACCTCCACGCAGAGCCCAAGACTTGCGGAGCTCTGCTCCCCTCCTCCCGCCTCCCTCCCTCCCTCCGCTTTTCTGTTGTTGCTGCTGTGGCAGACAAATGTGATGTGGGGCTCAGGGAATTGCCACTGTCACAGGCGGCGTCTGCGTCTGCCTCGCCCGCCCTCGCTCACTCTCGAGGAAGGCGACGCATTTATCTGCAGGGCGTCCGGGCGTCCGCCGGGGAGCAGGAGCGCCGCGCGCTGTGCGCCGAGAGCGCCCGCATCAGGCCGGCCCCGGCGCGCGCTCGCGCCAGGGGCGCCGCGGCCGCTCGGGAGGGAGGCGGCTGCGCGGCCGCTACCAGGTGCAGGGGGGAGGGCCCGCGACTGGGTTGGGGGGGAGGTGGAGGTGGGAGACATCTGTGTCGTGCGGGGGTCACGGAGGTCAAGTATATGTTAACAATGGGCAGGCCCGGCACGCTAGGGCGCGCGGGCGGGCGGGCGGGCGGCCTCCCTCCCGGCCTCGCCCTCTCCGGTGCAGGCTGGACGTGTGGTTGGCTCCCTAATGATGCCTTCCCGGGCCGCCAGCTCTCAGGCGGCCCGAGTGCCCTGCAGTAACCCAAAACGACCACTTTCCCCGGCCATCTGGAGCGCTCCTGGCTGCCCTGCCTGTGTCTCATCACTGGCTGGAGAGACAGCTCTGCTAGAAATCAAGCCACTCTCAGATCTCCTCTCTAATCCCCTTCTGTTAGCTGATTTCCAGGCTGACTATTTGCTTTCGCATTAGATAATAGCCTTAGAGAAAACAATTATCATTTTCTTTTATTCCCTTTGTTTTTCTGCTTCTCCCATAGTATACCATTAAGAGGGACCGCTTTCTATCTCAGGTTTTTGTTAGATGTGTCCCCCTCCCCCAGACATTAATATCAATACTTGAGGCAGGGTGGGGGGTAGTCCCGGAGGGAAAGATAGGGTGAAAGAATTCCAGATATTTCCAGAGTAAATAAATAATCTCAGTGAAGAGGACTGACAATTTGTACAGAGCAAAAAAGGACTTGAATAATAATGAAAATATTAATATGTAGGTCAAATATGATCAGATAACGGCTTGCAATGATAAGTAAAATGAAATCTTTTAAAATTACTATGGGACGGTACCCTGACTGCAAATGTTATTGTATTTAGTTGAACTATTTGAAATCCTACTCTGAACCATGTTTTCCCCAACTAGCCTAAATCAATGTAAATGTCCTGAGTACGTGTTTTAAAATCTCATTTTTTAAAGGAAAAAAAGCGTGAGATAGAGTCTGAGAACGCCTGATGCAGTTAAGAACTGATAAGACATTTGCGGGTTTTATTTTTTGAAGTGGTGTTTCAAATATTTAATAGTGAGTAAAATCCCTTCCCCCATCCTTTTAAACCCAGCTGGAGCTTCCAATTCTGAAGTCTTTTCAGACTCTACTAATTTTTAGCAATTCATTTCCAGAAAACACTCATTGTACATTCTCCCTCTCCTTGGGACATTTGTCTAATGAATTATAATAGATTGATGAATTGCAATGTTAAGTCTTGGTATTTGATATTATGATGCTCTTAATTTGAATCTCTCATTTTATCAAGGTGTACATTCTATAGTAATTTCTGCATTATAGTTCTTTGTATTTTGCTATCCTACTCGCTACTCATCTTAATAGCATGAATATCTTAAACTATAAAATTTTATGTACGTCATACTAATATAACTCCTTTGTGTAGGAAAATTATGTCAAAGCTTACTATTGTTCTTAAAAGAATAAAATCATGTTGACATTTTATTATTCTGTTACCTGTATTATCTCTTCTGTCCCCCAAATCAAAACCAAATAATTTGGATTCTGGAGGCATATATTCATCTTTATTTAAAGTTAATAAAATGACGTCTGAATCAGGAATGATTCTTGTGAAATAGTGTTACTTCTAAAATCATTTAAGATATAGAAAAAGTAAATCAGTGATAGTTTTATGTTGTAAAAAAACAGGTGGAGAAATGAAATGGAAATATGCTACATTTTTTTTCTGTCGTTGAATTGTGCCAATGTAGGTGTAAAATTATGATAGAAACTTTGAACTTCTAAATCAATGGAAAGTAAGTTGCAGGAAATCAAGTCAGAATTTTATACCGTCATGCTACATTTTTGACAACAAGGCATATTTTATAAGAAGCCACAAACCCTATAGGATCTTCCCTTTTGCTAGTAATACTTCTGGAAAAATAATGATCATTCTTTAGTTATACTTCTTAAAAATTCTCGATTTGGTTTTATATCAGATAGAATATATTGCAACTTGAGGGTTTTTTTTTTTTTTTTTTTCCAAATTCTAATAAAAGCAATGGAAGAACCTGCATACTGGAGTAGATGTAGAAAGAATTATTCAATATGTTCCTTAATCCTACTTGCTGCCTCCTTGAAAGGCCTGTGTTCTACAAAATGTAGAACATATTTTCCTGTAGGGTTTATCCTCATATTAGCTCCTAACTTCTTTATTTGGAGCAAATAATAATTATAGGGGCCAACTCAAGCATAAGATGATTCTTGAGTTACAAAATCTGGAAAATAAAACATTAAATGAAAAGAGAGGAACTGGTTGATACCGTGTGGTGGGAGAGTGTGAATTACCTGAAGACAGTACAGGCCCATAAAATATTTGGTTACCTTAGACTTGGAGTGGCAGATACATACGATAATGTTCAAAACGAAATAAACAATTGATTTTTAAAAATCCAAGGAGACAGGATGAATAATAAGTCCTCATATCTGTACATTCACAGGAAAGATCAGGTTTCTGTACCCTCAAAACTAGTTTACCAAAATAAATAAATAAATAAATAAATAAAAAGAAAAAAAGAAGAAATTGCTTAGAAATGTAAGCACCTACCTACCAGAACAGAACCACTAAATTAAAAGATAAAATACAAAATAACGTCTTAAAATATTTTTTAAACCCTCACTAACAATTTTCTTTTTTCACACTTTAGAAGATATTTTCTTACATCATCAAATTAAATACTGAGTTCTTTCAATTTGCAGGGTAGTGGGTTTTTTCCTGTTTTGTTTTGTTTTGTTTTGTTTTTTCAGTAATGCTGCCTAAGGATGCTTTTTGTTTTCCTTTAAATCAATCCTTTAAAAAAGTAGGGCTTTCAATACAAATTTCAGATGAGTGCTTATTACCTTCTTTAGAGATGTGTGATTCACCTTTCACAAAAAGGAATTCCTATACAAAATGTTAACAAGTACTTAATTAGCATGTTTAAAATTCCTCCTTATAGATCTTAAAGTTTAAATGACTCCCAAGCTGTGATTTTCTATTCCTTGAAAAAGTCCTCCTGTTTGCCTAGGTTGAGGAAAATCCTTAATTACCATGTTACTTACTTCTAACAAAATTATTTATTATTGTATTTGTACAAAAAAGAATATGATAAACATAAAGAATGGCAAGCCATAATTAAGTTTTCATAAATTTAGACTTACCCACTATTTGCAATTTCTCTTTTGCTGTATAATTTTATATAATTTACTTTTTGAGCTTTACATGAACAAGTTTTATTCCAAATCTTTGCAGTTTTGCTTTTTAACTTGTTTAATGTTTCATTTTAGAATGTGCACCAAAAAAAGAATACATTTCAGAAATCTTTTTATTTTATTCTCTAGTAGTTGAGCCACATAAACTTAGTACATATGCAA